AATCTAATACAACAACTTTCCTATAAATCCAACATATACTCTCGCCGATAAGAATTTATCCAATTTATATATATTTATATACAAATAAGAATTGTCAGCTTTGTTYCACTACGTCTTCCCTTTTATGCCGACAAAGAGCACAATTCTACCAAGTTCAATTAAAATAGAAAGTTTGATTCTTATCTAGAATGGTTTGTTTACACGGGACTTCTAGTTTTGCTATAGAAAATTCAGTCTATGGTATTAAACAAAGCGAGGATAGAGAGACAGGTGTTGAGAAACAGCTTCTACTTATTCTAGATCTGATCCTGGATACTCGAATTGATTAAACTCGTCTGGGGCATAAAGAATAGTCTTTAGAAATTGCTTTTTCCCTTTTCAAAAATGATGCTATGGAGGAGAGAAATTTAGTTTCGTGGGTTTGCACGGATTTTGACTGATCTCATTTGTAGACGGAGCGAAGAAGGTCGGTCAGCGTAGTTAAAAAAAAAACACTTTTCTCTCACTTTTTAAACCAACTGGCATCAGTCGTGGGCATTGGCAAACAGCATATTGTAAAGTCTCGACTGCTTATAATTAGAGTCAGCAAAAAATTAAAGCCTAAAGCGCTGAGCACAAAACACGAGAGAGGCGTCGAGGGACAACACTTTCCAAGGATTTGATAAACACCAACTCACTTTGAAGAAGATCACTGTCAGGAGCTCTTTAGAAGAATAGTGATTCTATCGATGGAAACGCAGGTCTCGAGTGCGTTCTTTGGGGTCGTCGCGTTCCTGTCCGTGGCGGGAAATATCTTTCTGTGTGTGCTACTCGTGAGGCGGAAATCAATGCTCAAGAAAACGTACAACATTTTGATTTTAAATCTCGCTGTAACAGACATTTGTGGTGGTAAGTTTGATCTATGAAATTATAATATTTAGGAAAGGTAGGTTTTTGTGCAGGGGGGAGATTGAGATTTTTGTGGAGGGTCACACCTTTTTATTTCCCCGCATCATCGAGAAATTAAATATTTTTGAGCTTGTATGTTGTATAAAGAAACTTGACAGATGTGAGAAAGATGATTCGGAATTGATTTTTAAGTGCTATTTTACTAGCAAAGTGAGTGAAATTTTCATTTGCTCGTTAGTTGAACTTTTTGACAGCCACCACATTATTGAATACGCTTACAAAGTGAGAGTTTAGCGATGAAGTTAAACCGCAGTAATTATAGGCAAAATTGACTAGGTATTTTTTTTGATAGGCGTTTGATATTGTACTAATTAGTCCCCTTATTGTATGGTAAGCTTGAAAAACACACCAAATTGTACCCGGTACATCAAATGTGTTTTTTAAAATCACCGAAAAGTTAAAACAAACAAATTTTGATGGCATTTCTAGCGCGTTACTACGAAGCGCTATGACATGAAGATTTTTTGACTGATTTGCCAATAGACGTGCGGATAATCGCGCTTTAACTGTTTTAAGGATATCGATAATTACAGATGAAAAACACTACATCTGAATCGTTTTCGAGCCTGTATTAAGTCTAGCTCGCATGTAGATCGTTTGTATAGAACATAGATCGTTTTTGCCTTTTCTTTCCCTTATGTAACTATGACAAACAATTCGACTCTCGGGCATTCTACACGCTCATCGACCGAAGAAATCACCTGCGAAACAGTATTTTATATAATCATTGCATCCTTGTCTATACCTGGAAACTTAGTGTTATTTTGTGTTATTCTTCGAAATAATTCACTGTTGAGAAAAACGTACAATATTGTAATTTTCAACTTGGCGTTGACAAATATTTTACAAGGTAAGTTTGCATTAAAAGTATTTTAAAAACGTATTTTGGGTTGTGCGTCAACGGATTAAGAAAACGTTACTTGTCGACAATTTTTATAAAATTTTTGATGAGAAAAACACTGATTTTCCCCTACTTTTTTTAAACATTAAAGAGGAACTGTTTCTACGAGTGAATGGCCCTTTGTCCATAACCTTTAATCAAAAATGGATTTAAAAGATTGTAATTTATGCAACCTTGTTATTAACTTTATAAGGTTTTTCATTACGGGAACGTTGGGACTAAGATTACTTTACGCGTTCAATAACTACTTTAATCAGTTTTAGACAACAATTTCTGGTTCCCGAGTGTATTGTTCAGGACTTACACAATAATAAGGGATTCGCTCAAGCTCTTTTTATATTTACAAAAAGAAATCGGTATCGTTGGATTAGGAGTGATTGGAGACAATTGGCTCGTATGTCATGGGTTATTTCATTTCCGGGCACCTAGTTGGTGATCGTACATGGGTCGATCTTTGTAGCGAAAACAAAAACAAAGAAGAAGAAACTGAAAAAAAGCTCTTTGCATGCATTTTTAATGAGGTGAATAATTAATAATAGTCGTATGAACGTGTAGAAATAACAATGTACCTGAATCAGATTAATTGGATGACTGAAATTTTTATTATCCTTTAGGTGTTTTCCTGTTTTTAACACCAAACTATGTCTTCCAACTAAACACTTACCCAAGGATGTCAGGAATCGGTGGAGAAGTCTTTTGCCGAACGGTCTTCTCCACCTACTTCTTATTTGTCTGCGGCAAAGCTTCCAATGCAAGTGTCATGTGCTTGGCGATTGAACGTTGGTATGCGGTTGTCAGGCCAACCAAATACAAATCCAAATTTGGTCGTCGCCGCTTGTACACGTATATTGCCCTTATATGGATCTCAGCGTCGATAACGGAGATTTTCGAGCTGTTCATCGCTAAGATGGTGGATGGTTCGTGTCAATGGATTACACCCCCCTATGGTGCCAAAGCGGAGAGTGCGTTCCTTGTGTTACACGTCACGGTCACGTTCTACATTCCTAGTGTCGTGACATGGGTATCTTTTGCTCACATATGGTTTCGCATGGCAACAAACAAAACTGTTGGGAGTCAAAATCAAAGCACAAATGCAAAGAAGAATGTTGTCCCGATGTGCGCACTGGCAGCATTTTTCCTGACGGTTCTTTGGTTTCCTACCGAGACTTTTTGGGTTTTGAAGAAATTTGAGGTGGTAATCCTTCCGCATGTTTACTACTTGGTTTTTAATTTACTGGCCTTCGTCAGTTCATGCATTAACCCTTTCATCTATTGCCTGAGCAACAGGACCTACAGACGTGAGGTTGCCTCGTTGATTCATAGATTAAGATGCTGGGATCGATCTACTCGGGTCGTTCCTTTTGAATCGCAAACTGTTTCTGCTACAAATGATCTACAGTTACGCACGATACATGGCTCCAAAACCACAAGGGTTTCTGGAGACAGGAGCCCGGTAATACTGTCAGGCCATATGAGAGACATGTATACGCTGCCAGCTTAGAGCATGTATAATAAGAGAGGATTGTCTCCAGCAGCAAACCTTCCCTAATTTAAAGAAATACTCGGGTTAATGAACTTGGCGAAAAGACGATGTACACTTTCATCAACGAATGTGATTGGTTAAGACTCATTCGATATAAGGAGACGATATGCATTTCTATCAACGAATGTTATTGGCTTAGACTGATKACGCATAACAATAAATAATAAATATATATATAGCGCTTTCGCACTAATTGGGGACACTTTTCGCTCACACGCACTACCACTACATTTGATACTCTATGCACACAACGCTCAACTCACATGTTGATTTTTACATAAGGATACGATGTACAGTTGTACAAAGAATGTGAATGGCTAAGACTTTTTCATGTAAGGAGAGGATATGCATTAATTGGTTTAGACTCATTACACATAAGAATGCGATGTACAGTTCTTTCAACGAATATGATTGGCTGATATCAATAATTTTATGAGTGTGATTTGTTTAGATTGCTTCCATAATAAGGCGATGTTTATTTCCATCATCAAATGTGATTTGTCAATGTTGCTTCGAATTCCATGCTGTACATTTCTATCATCGAATTTGATTGGCTAAGATTGCTTTCATACTGTACATTTCTGTCATCGAATGTGATTGGCTAAGATCCGGCTTCCGTACTGTACATTTCTGTCATCGAATGTGATTGGCTAAGATCGCTTCCGTACTGTACATTTCTGTCATCGAATGTGATTGGCTAAGATCGCTTCCATACTGTACATTTCTGTCATCGAATGTGATTGGCTAAGATCGCTTCCAT